TGAAATTAGAGCTTTACTCGGTATAAATTAGTGTACCACTACCCTCTGGTAAATTCACATAGACCCTGGCAGATAGGGGTTGGAAGACTAGTTTCCATTAAAAATGGGTGATGTTCAGGGTCAACAAGTTAATTTACTGGAGGCTAATAATAATGTAATGGGTGTGTCTAAAAATGAACCTATCAGTATGAATATTTTTTTTCGGGAAACCAATGATTATCATCCAATGGATTTGGGGGTACACTATTTTCTGGTGCGTTTTACGTAGGGTTGCTGGATGGGTTGCTGGGGGTTGCTGGGATGATTATGAAAATAGTTAGCCAGTGGATCATTCCCGAAAATTCCCTACGTACCAAGCACAAGTAAGTTTATGGGTTTCCATTGATTTGGGGGTACTTCCAAATCATCCAGCCATTGTTTTCGGATTTCCCATGATAAACCATCCAGCTATTAGCGGTGTATAGTTTGATGCTTTCACCCCTTCTCGCCTGCGCGACTCGATCGATGAGCTGCGAGAATTTGGAGCCTCGGGCAGATGGATGACTATAGAAATCTCCGAGAAAACCCATAGAAATGCGGGTGGGATCTGTGATGACAAGTCGCTGCTGAAGATGGAGATCTTCCCGAACTTCCCTACATTTTTACATGCTTCAGTCATCGTTTGATTCTTGGAGAGTGTAAAATACGTTCTTGAGAGTTGTGGAGTCATCCTGTCAACATCATTTAGTGGGCCAAAAATCAAGACGGAAAGCCTCAACACACCTTGACACATCTAGTTTGAGATCGCCAATTTTTCACCTATGTTCATTCTCTATATTACTGGTGGTGTCCAAAGTCAATCATCCAAGTCGTGGATGAACATGACTTAGCATTGAAACAACTATGGTGACGGGGATCCCCCATGACTCTTCAGAGCCCCCGAAGGTGATGTTCAGTTTTGCCATATCAGATTTATCCCCCATGACTGGATGGTTGATATTAACAATGCATAATTGTTAAATAACCAATCAATCAATCAAATCAAATCAAATCAAATCAAATCAAATCAATCAATCAATCAATCAATCAATCAGCTTCATAAGTTACAGTTACCTTCAATTTTTGGACCCATACCAGCACCGCAGCTTGGGCCGCCCCTGCAGAGCAGCTTGACCACTTGGTTTGGATCCTGGGGCATTGAAGCGGTGCCGTGGATGTTTTGAGAAATCCCAGGGAGATATCACTTTGATAAATGATTGATTAATGATTAATATTGTTCATAATCATTAATCATGTCATACAATCTATCAATTCTAAGACTAATCATTAAGTCTGCATCACTCAAGAAATTCTTACCTCTTCCAAGATCGTGAAAATTATTTTTTTTCGCGTGGCTGTGTTCTCACGGATAGCCTGGGCGCTTAAAGTTGTGGGCCCATTCATGTTGACAAAGAGCAACTGAGAGTGTTACGTAGTGTTACCATATGGTACCCTAGGGTAAACTAACATAGATGTTCAAAATCCATGGTTTCCCTCATGATCCAAGAATGGTGGGTAAACTCCACATGTATGTATTTTTTACAGCAAGGTACCTAGATCTTTCCCACAGGGTTCTAGGAAGTAAGAGGTCTCCATACCCAACTGATGGCTTAACAACCCCAAAACCCTAAAGTTTGGCGCTTCCAGCCTTCACAACATTGTTTTCTCTTAAACCATCATGTTTGGTCACGTCCTTGCGAAGTTACCGTCATTTGCCCAGATTTGGAAAATCTTCATTGATGGATCAAAATGCAGCCGGTTTTTTCTAGTGATCTAAAGTGATTTCAACTGATCTCACTGGGTGAAAATCTGGTTTCAAACCGATTTCAGCCGATGGCTCCCAGACCCCCCGGTGTGGTGCCAGCCATGTCCTGCACAGCTTCCAATAACTCGCCTTTGACGCCGGATGGGATCGTTCCAGCCAGAGGCTTAGCTGTAGGTTATCGGTGACCTGTGGCTATCTCCAGCTTCCAGCAATACTTATATATATATATAGTATATATATAGTATATATATATAGTATATATATAGTATATATATAGTATATATATAGTATATATATATGTACATTTACATATATATATATATATATATATATGTACATTTACATATATATATATATAGTATGTATGTGTATATATATATATATATATGTATATATATATGGGAGTTCCTAAAATGCGGATACCCCTGGATGCCCCTAAATCATCCATTTTATAAATCATATATGTTTGATAGGATTCTCCAGTACAAACCATCCAGCTATTGGCGAAAACCCCGATGTATGGAAGCCCTCATATATATGTTTACCATCTCCAAATTTCGTGTGATTTTAGAAAGTATGTGAAAGTTTAGTTTAGCAGTCTAGCAGTCTAGCAGTCTAGCACCTCATTTTCCCATTTTCCCCAGCCATTTGAAGATATACCCCATGCTTGGACTCAAAAAAAATCCAATTCCTCCCAGCCCAGTCCAGAAATCCTGAGCTTCCCTACGTGGCGGAGGGCCAAACGTAGCTCCAGGGGATGGCATGATGACATTCGTAGTCCCACAACGTCCACTTGGTCTACGAATTTTCCCGTTTACGCCCCATCAAAAATGGAGGTGGAAACCTGGGAAACTCCCCGAAAAATGGGAGGTTTATAGCTGGGAAAATCCTAACATAAATGAGGGACAAATTCCAGCCATGTTTGATGACTCCTTTTTGGGGTATCTGTCTATTGACTGCAAACTGCTGAGTCCTTCTCTGTTTCAGCTCGAAGTTGACCAAAAATGACCCGACGTCGCATGGTTTCTTGTCGCAAGACCTAAAGGTCTCAGAACCAAGTTGGGTTCGAGGTCTGGCAGTGCTCGCAGTGCAGAGAATGTCCAGGGCTTCAAGTCTTTCAACTGCCGCTTTTACCCTCTGGTTATGACTAACATAGCTATTGAAAATGGCAATTTATAGTGAGTTTTCCCATGAAAAATTGTGATTTTCCATAGCTATGTTAGTTTACCAGAGGGTAAACTGTTCATCCGATAATCCCATCGTTCATATTCAACAGCCCCATGGTGAATGGTCCCGAAGAAGTGGCTTTCATCCCCATCCACCATGGTCACCATGGATCCTTTTCAATGCTGGCTGTTGCTTCGCGAAACTTGGCTACCAGTGAACTTCTTAAGAAGTCGAAATTTGTGGCGAAAGCTCTCAAACCCATGAGCTTATCATGTCTATGAGCAACATGATGGTGATATCAGCAAGAAAACTAAAATCTCATACCATCTCACACCTATCTCTTGTATCACTGGATCTTCCGCAGCTATCGCAAATCAGCTGCTGTTGACTCATGTGTTCATCCATTTTTGTTTCACTAATATCTTTTGCATATCTTTACTGGTCAAACTCCCTTGAGCTTTCTGAAAGGGCACCAGACCTGGGACCTCCGTTGGTGCACTCCGACCCCGGACATCCCCAGACTCACCACGATAGCACGATCCGCCTGGCGCGGCTAAAATTTCAGGTCCTGTTTCTGGGTGGAAAATAGGTCTAAATGATATAGTTATGGTAAACTAACATAGATATTTTTGGTGATTTTCCCTCAAAAACAGCAAAATCAACTTGCCATTCTGAAAAAAGTTAAAATACGAAATGCGATTGGATAAGTGGCTGTCGCTTGAATCCAAAATTATTTATAAAAACTTTAATAACTGATAGTAGAGATTGGGCCTGGGTTCTCATAGCCCAAAAGAGTTTAAGAGCCAACGTAAAAAGATAAATAGTTTCTGACAGTTTCTGGATGTTTGTGGTTTATGGCTCGATGTTTACACTGTAAAAACTCCATGAAAATTACATATATTCTTCATCTACAATAATCTCTCAAATTCCAGCCAGAATATGTATTCTTCACAGAGTTCATGTTTGATTGTTGAGGGAAGACATGGGAAGACGCACCTGGGAGGGATTTAAGGCTCAATCAGCTTACTCAACTTAACTAAGTGAACCTAAAGGCATTGTGTTGGGCTGTTGGGCCAGATGCCAGGCGCCTGAGAACCTCCCAATTTTGACAGTGCTCCAGACAACCATAGAGCTGAACTCTGTGTCCTGGGAAGGGGTGCCACTTTCACCAACCAACTCCAATTTTTTCAGAGCTGCACTTTTTCGCATCCGCACGCCCCGCATTTTGCTTTGCAGGGTTCGTGGGGCTATGGCCACTGATGGACAGTTGGACAGTTTGTGGCTGGTTGAAAAAGGCGGCATTGCAAAGTGATAGAAGTTTGAGCAGAAATATATAAACAGGTAGAATCAGCCGTTCCACCCTTGTTGCCATCGTTTACACAGAATTCAATGAATTGGTTTGACGGCAACCCTGCAAGATCATGTTCCCGTCGCCTTCGCTGGCTCAAGGGAATCCTCAGCCTTCACCCTGTCCATGGTGACTAGGAATCTACTGCTCGGTTGATGTCGAGATTATCATCTCAATATTTTAGTTCATGAAAAAAACAGGCAGCTATGCAGCTATGCCAAGCCAACAACTGAGTCACAGCAACCATCATGTCTGGATATCAGCTTTATCCGCAGTTTTCGCTGGTTTATTTTTCTAAGATGCTTTACCCTCTGGTAATTTAACATAGCTATTGAAAATTGCCATTTATAGTGGATTTTCCCATTAATCATGGTGATTTTCCATAGCTATGTTAAATTACCAGAGGGTAATCCCAATTGTCCAGCATCGCTTCTGGATCAAACCTCCGACAGCATCCATCAACCAGTTCCCAACTTCTCGAGATGAACAGTCCCAAGATGTCCCAAGTATTTCAGCATAACATCAACCACATCAACCCACCAGTTGGAGGTTTCCTAAACTGGAGCTACCCCCCTTTTTTTCATCAAAAAATAGATTTGCCAAAATTCACCATCCATCCCGCGAGCTACCAGGGATGATCCTCCAGCTATGGAAACCACCAGTTGTTGGATCTCTCCAACGTCTCGGCAGAAATCGATCAACTCAACAGCCCCAAGACCATTTGGTCTTCACCGGCATGCGCTCAGAGACCTGCGAGTCGCGCAGCCGTAGCTCCTACCAGCCGCAGCGCATAAAATTTCAGGGCAGGTTTTTTTGAGCAGGGAAAATGATGTTGAAAGTATCTAAAAGTTGTGTGTCATGTTATTCAGTTATTCATTCAGAAGTTTCGGTGGTGATTTTCATGTGATTTTAATCATGGGAACAAACATTCATTATAAGATTCAGAAGTTTCCTGTCGTATGTGGATCTCGAGCTCGGGCTTGGGGCGGCCATGGGCGGCCCAGAATTTCCGAGGCCCTTTTTGTGGGTCAAAATTGGAGACCCTGGGAAACAGAGATATAATCATGTCATATGTATATATATATATGTATGTATGATAATATATACTTATATATGATAATATATACTTATATATATATATATACATTATATATATACACATTATATATATATATATGTGTGTGTGTATTACCCATATATGCTCCATGGTGCTGAAATATGTACCCACATGTGCCCTCACAAAATCAGCCAAGTTTTGTAGGTAAATATACCAGCACCCGCCCCTGTCCTTGATGCTGGAGAATGGAAGTGACTTTGCCAACTTAACCCCTGGCCGGCTCATCAGAGTTCGTGGACTCCGTGGACCTAAAATGAATAGGTTTCCAACACTAAACCAAGGTCTCCCCCAAAAAAATTGGATGGTTACGTGTTTTCTATGGGAATTTCAGGATCCGATTTATTGGAGGTACCTACCATTTTTTTAAGGCCTATTTTTGAGGCCTATATAAGGGCTATGTTTCTATGTTTTAAGGACCCATGTCAGCTACGCCATATTGTGTTCTTAATTACGCCAAAGGGTCCACCGAAGTCCCTACGATTTCATTCCAACGCAAACTGTGATTTCCATGCATTTCCATAATATACAGTAGTAGTCATAGATTTCGACAAAGGTCCAAATATATATATATAATCATATATATATCCATGCATTGCGACATATATTTCCATACAGGTCCACGTGCAGTTTTCCTACAATGGGGGTACCCATAATTAATCATCCACTTTCTAGATGTATGGTCCATGAAACTTCCCCATCCAGCTACCAGGGCGTCCCCATCCGCCCACCTTCATCGTCCCCAAAGCTGTTGGCCGACAAATCCAAGCTGGTCAGGGCCAGCTGGGGCGTCTCCAACATCTCGCAGACGTGGCTCAGGTCTTTCAGTTCGCAGTGGGCTAAGGACAACTCCTATGGCTCCGCTGGCGTCCGGCTCGGGCCGTGGAGATGTGAAAAATCCCTGGTGAACCCCCAGCTATGGCCATTTGAGGTGGGAAAATGATGATCAACCAGCGGAAGTTTCGGGATCTTCTATTTTCAAACACAACGAACTGATATTTCAAGAGAAGAGGAGTTAGAATGGCCATTCATTTCACGTTGGGATCCACGGTAGTGAAGATCTATGGTTTCGACGTGCTGACCATACTCGACAAACATTGACCGTCACTGAGCACTCCCTTGCAGTCCCCAAACCATCAAAAGAACTCACACACCCGAAGATCTGGTGCTTTAACTGCCAGATTTACACTGGCTAATCTTAGACACTCGGCAAAAAAAAAACACCCACTTAGACAGGAATTGTCCATATTCCGCAATTTCCGGACAGAGATTGTATTGAAGTATTACAACACATTAAACAACGTATTCAACTTAGACTACCTTCACCATCCTTCACCCAGGGTTTCTCCATTCTCCCGGCCTTCACGCCGGCGTTGGCACGCACGTGACGCGCCAGGGCAGTGCAAACGCATTTGACCCCAGCGTCGCCCAGGCGGCACCAGTCCAGAATCAGTTTGCTCACTTTGGAGGGTTCAGCCTCCGATGGTGGATGCTGGAGGGGTGAGGGAAAGACTGGTTGGTGATAGGAAAAAATGGGGATGAAACTGATTCATATGATGGGTTTTTAAAATGGAGATACATGAAAAATCGATGTTTCACATGGGATTTTGGGGGTTCTCATGAAGCCTCTTCCATCCCCTTCTGCTGGGGAAAGGGCCCGAAAATTCCCATGGATTCTCTGAATGCCTTGAGATTCTGATGTTGATTTGGATCATCACCATCCTCATCCCTGTTGAACCTATGGGAATGGATTGGTTTAAGGGAAAATCTACAGGAAACCATGGTGTTTACCATCAAATTGAATGGGGTTTCCTGTTAAAATGTTCCCATCATCCAATTCTATGATGCCAGCATAACACCAACATTTTCACTATAAACTACAAGGTATGTATCAACTGGGCACTTGCCCAAAGAGCCACCAGGAGGGTTGGTCCACTTCCCCAGATGCCCATGGTTCAAGCCGGGACCCTCGGTATCAGTTGAGTTCCCCCAAAATGATCATCTTCAGAAAATCCCTGAAAAATCCGTGAAACATGCAATCTCTAAATTGTCATATAATGTCAACTCCGGATTAATAAACCATGGTTAATTAATTGGGGGGTACTCCTCCAATAGTCATTTCATCTGATACTTTTTTATGGTACCCTCCCAATTAAACAGCGGTAAACGGGGTTTATTTATCCAGGGTTGACATTATTCATATATTGTCATCGAAAAGGTCCAGGTCTCTGGGATCCCATTTTCCAAGGAACTTGAACTCTGGCGATGAGGGCTTCTAGCGCTTCAAGGTCCCACAAAGCCTGGCTGTTCGCTGGGTCAAACCTGAGAAATCACCATTTTTCGAGGACTTCCAAAATATGTTCATATCAAACATGGAGATTTCCGCCATGTTGGAGGTTTTTCAGATGTTCACAAACCTTCACCCAGTGGTATATTCCGCAATACCTCCCGTCCCAGGTCGTTGGTAATGTCCGTGCCCAGCAGCGGGATCAAAGTATTGGAAGTCCAACTGCAGTTCTTTGAGCTCCGGCGCTTGTGGCAAGAACTTGCCTCGGCAGCTGCTGACCATCCAAGGGGAATGCGCCACGACACGAGTTTCACAGAGAAATCACTGACCTAGATCTAGACAGGTCCAAGCTCAAGATATTCCAAATTGTCCATTCCAGCATCAAGAATTCGTATATAATTATAATTCGTATATAACTAATATATATATATATCACCCACATATGGGAATATTCAGCAGTTCTTGGCCCAAGCTACAGATGACTTTGGCTGTGAGCCCAGGATGGGCTGACGGCAGGTTGAGCAAGAACAACTTTTGAAGCTTGGGACAGGAGGGTGCGGAAGAACTCATGGCTCCTCCAAGACACAAAAGAGATCACTCGAGAGTTGAAGATCTTGCGCAAGATAAAGGCAATTTATGGATATTTATGGCCATTTTAACTTTGACAATGATGATGAACTATCAAATTTTCGTAAATTATAGCAAGTCACCAAGCTGAAATCCGCCATAACTTGGGTCCCAGTTATCCCAGTTACCAATTCCCTTTCAGTCCCATCCAGTCGTGTAGCACCAAGCTTTCGTTCAAAACCCAAGTGCCTGGAATGCCTGGAAGCCCCAAGGACCATCCCCAACCAACAAAAATGAAAAATATGAAAATTACTTTACTTCGAGTTGTCCCCACCATGACATCTATACGTTTGGTTACTGGCATATCTTCTGGCATTCTATCTGGCATATCTTCTGGCATTCTACCTGGCATATCTTCTGGCATATGTTCTGGCATATCTTCTGGCACTCTATCTGGCATATCTTCTGGCATATCTTCTGACATTCTATCTGGCATTCTATCTGGCAAATCTTCTGGCATATGTTCTGGCAAACATTCTGGCACTTTATCTGGCATATCTTCTGGCATATCTTCTGACATTCTATCTGGCATTCTATCTGGCAAATATTCTGGCGTTCTATCTGGCAAACATTCTGGCACTTTATCTGGCATACCTTCTGGCATTCTATCTGGCATATCTTCTGGCATTCTACCTGGCATATCTTCTGGCATATGTTCTGGCATATCTTCTGGCACTCTATCTGGCATATCTTGTCTGACATTCTTTCTAACTTTCTTCTGCACATTCTTTGTCCCATATCTTCCTACATGAGGTCCGGCAGGGAACACTTGGCGTGGATACTTGCGGTTGAGGTCCGGCAGGGAACACTGGGCGTGGATGGTCGTGGTTGAGGTCCGGCAGGGAACACTGGGCGGGGATGGTCGTGGTTGAGGTCCGGCAGGGAACACTGGCGGTGATGGTCGTGGTTGAGGTCCGGCAGGGAACACTGGCGGTGATGGTCGTGGTTGAGGTCCGGCAGGGAACACTGGGCGTGGATGGTCGTGGTTGAGGTCCGACAGAGACCACTGTGCGTCGAGGGTCGCGGTTGAGCAGGAGGAGGAGGAGAGGAGAGGAGGAGAGGAGAGGAGAGGAGGAGAGGAGAGGAGAGGAGAGGAGAGGAGGAGAGGAGGAGAGGAGGAGCAGGCAACTGACATAAAATCTAACAACCCTCACCTGGCAGGTGGGGAAAAAATCAGCTCCGAAACTCCTCCCTGAACTCCCGTCCTTCCGTGCCACTTGGGAGTAGCCCCAGCAGATCGGCGGCATAGAGATCCACCAAATGGAGGACTTGGAGCCGCGCACCGATGCCATCCACAGCTTCCAGCGCCGGCGCGACGCCAGCGATGCCAGCGACGCCAGCGACGTCCGGGGAAGCCGCGCCTTTCGATTGATCGGCCGGGAAGCTATGCTGACCTCACAGGTGGTAAAGGACAACAGCCCTGGCTGACCTGGGCATACCTGGGGGGCATGTGGTGCACAGGCCACAGGTCTATGAAATCCTCCGAAATGATGGAATTATGTAGAATGATGGACGGAACTATCATGTAGAATATGTACAAGACATGTGCCTTTTCGCCAATGTCTAAACCAGTTTCCGATGATTGTGATTCAGCTCAAATCCCAGTTCCGCTCCAGTCACCATACCCCCATGACTCATAGGTGTCAAATTGGTTTTACTGTTTGGCCTTCAATGTTTGTTTGTGAGTCACATGCAACCCAATAGCAGCACTCCGGTTTCACATGATCAGTGGCCCCAACCAAGTCATCCCATCCATCACCGAGCGGCGAGCGCGCAGCAGCAAAGAGAAAACCGAACCCTCCAGGTGTTGTAAGTTGGGCAACTGATTCCTGGGGCATCTGCAGCTACAGGGGTTGTTTCATGTGAGGAAAAAGACAAAAATCCTGCAGAAACTGGGGGAGTGATGAGCATAGGTGGTCGGCAATAAACTGACCAGTCGATCGGTGGTCTATTACAATCCCCAAGTATCCAAACCCATAGGATCCATGGTGCTGCTATATATGTTAACATGGATCCCATCAATATACCCCCAATCAATGTTAGCATATATAGCAGCACCATGGATCCGTCATGGGAAATGGTCCAGGAAGGTATTGTTTACGGGATTTGCCACGTTGAACTGGCTTGGTATATCACACTGCACCAAAATCACAGGCTTCAAAGCCACGTTTTCCCCATAAGCCATGACCATAAAAGGGGGTTAAGGGGGTGGTCATGGCTGCGGCAAACCGCAATTCAAGCCATATTATGGTTGCGTGGAAATATGACACCCCCATTCTTCCAGTGGTGAATCATCATGTTGCCTGTTTCAATTGCCATCTGTGGTTCTACCGTAAGTTATACCTCATTCTCAGCCACGGCCACGAGGTTTCCAATGTCATGAGGCTACCCCCCCGTCGTCATCGCGAATGGACGACCATCACTTCGAAAGGAGAAACCCGTTTTGTGACGAGGATTGGGATCCTCAATTCTCAGACACACCCCGTTGAATACTATTTAATTACTGGCATACTGGATTGTACTATTATCAATAAATGTAAACTCCGGATTAGTAAACCATGGTTTAGAAAAATCAGGGGGGTACTCCCCAAATAGTGAGAATCTGATACTTGAATGGTACCCCCGTAATTCAACGGCCGTTTGGGATTTGTTAATCCAGGGGTTGACATTAATTATCATGGTGTAATCTACTAATCAAGTGATTATCGATAGCTTTTCAATTGATCCATGGTGATTATACTATTTATCATAATAATGATATATTTCATCATGGTGATTCTACTATTATAAAAGCCCATATGCAACTATTTATCATGGTTATCATAGTGCAACTATTATCAAAATCTTCCGGCCCAAAGCCAGGTTGCAGCAACTCTGTGACGCGAGCTGCAGAACGTCGCTGTTCTTCCTCCCAGAGGCCAGATCTCAACGAATGTCATTGCCCCAGGCATCAAAACGTCGCCACAAAAAAATTAAATCGGACCAACTGCGATAGGAAAATCATGAAAATCCCGATGAAGAACTGAAATGTCATGAAAGTTCAGGGTGATTTGGGGCAAAACTATAACTCAAGTACCATTTTTGGGGGGTGAAAAGTCCTGCCACTCTAGGGCCTGGAGATGCCGATACTGCAAGCTCTGATCAACAATATGAATGTCATCGGGCTCAGTTTCTGGATCTTGGTGTGGGTTTCCTCAACCCGGCCAGATCATCCTCTTAAATCAATGATAGATCGTCTAAACATATCAGTCTAATCTTCAATTGGGGTCTGAAAAATAGGCGACCCCATTCCATTGACCTATGATCGTTTTCCTGAAATATCTCGAAATGGTCCCAGTTTTCGGAAAAAAACGTCTTCACCGCCCCGGCGCTTGGACGAACCGCGCGGGGCCTCCATCTGCTCGAACTGCAGCTCCCGCGGTCGCCAGCGCGACTGGCGATCCACGATTTTGCGAAGGCTGCGGCAGGAGCTCAAGGCCAAGCCTTCCTGGGCAGATTGGTGCCCCCAAGTGTTGTGAACGTTGCTTGGTAGTCCCCTTTATACATATATACATATACATACATATTTATATATAACTTATTTATTTATTTATTTATTTATTCAAATATTTATTTATTCAAATATTTATTTATTCAAATATTTATTTATTCATATATTTATTTATTCATATATTTATTACATACCTGGTTCTTCAAAGTGCCTTTTTCAACCACCAATTCGAGGTCACTTAATCCCAAAAAGGCCCAAAAAGAACCACCTCAAATGGGTCACTTTGAAGAACCTGGTAGTTCTGTAAATAGTATATTTTATATATATATACATATAAATATACATATATATATATATTCATTCCCCATAAGGCCTAGTGAAATGGGAGTTATAAACCCATAAGTTCAACCAGTTGCCCATCTTAGGCTCCAGAAATCGGTACTTCTGCTCCAAGCCTGTGAGATGAGAAAGCAGAAGTGGACAGGTTACGGAAATCTTGGTGGAATTCCACAGTATCAATGGGAATTTCAGGATCCTAAAATGGAGGTACCTACCATTTTTTTAAGGCCTATTTTTGAGGCCTATGTAACAACAGTAACAACAGTAACATCTGTCAAACCCATGACGCATCCATGGTGCTGGTACATATGCTAACATAAAGGGGGTATATTGATGGGATCCATGGAGCACCATATATAGCAGCACCATGGATCCTATGGGTATGGTTGGGGTAAATGATTTTTTCACCGTCTAGAGCCAGAAATCCATAGAAATCCCCTTTCAAAACCCTTGACCAAGCGACTTGGCTATGTTGATTTTCCATGGCGCCATGTTAAATACCCCCTGGTAAACTAACATTGCTATTGAAAATGGCCATTTATATATAGTGGATTTTCCCATGAAAAATGGTGATTTTCCATAGTTATGTTAGTTTACCAGAGGGTAACCAGAGGGATCCAGTTGAAAAAACCGAACCTGGGAACCCTGGGAACCTCCACCGGGATGATCCGAGCTTCGAGTAATGCCAAGACATCAGGCAGCCGAGGCATGTGAAACTGAACGCTGAGAAGGCGATCCAATGAGATTTTCATCAGGCAACCTGCGGTGCCGCGGTGCCGCGGTGCCGGGCAGATGTTTCTTTGGAGGATCTCCCAAATGTGTAGTCACTGGTTGGTGGTGCAATAACCATCTTGAAAAATCATGGAGTTCGTCAGTTGGGACTATATGAAATTCCCAACTGAATGGAAAAATGAAAGTCAAAATCAATTTATTAGTCAATGGGAAGGATGACATCCCATATATATATATACCATTATATACCCATATATTATGGAAAGTCACAAAATTCCATGGTTCCAGTCAGCACCAACCAGAAATGTAAATCATGTGACTTGGGATGCTGGCTATGCTGGCTCCGTGCACCTGGTCCCTGTGAACTGCCCAGTGAATCTGGGAGTCATTTGCCAAAGATATCCAAAAATATTCCTACGAATATCGTGGATATAAGATATTACCCAAGATACACAAATATATCTCATATGTTGATTATATAAGATTTAAGATATTCCTGATTCTTCAAGATATCTTCACCTTGGGGATCCTCAGGTCCTTTTACCCCAAAATCTCCAGACTTTGGCGAAGCAAAAAGGTGACCTGAAAAATGGCGGTTCACATCAGATTTCGACCATGCGGCCCAGTTGACATGATGATAGCATATATCTTCTTAATATCTTCTCACTAAGTGACTAGGGCCCAAACCATCTTGGAGTTCTCCTGAAATGTCCAGTTTTCGCTGATTCGAGCTGAATTACATGAATTCATCTCACAAAATGGAGTGAGTATCGGATTTCTATCAACAGAGAACTCTTTGTTTGTTTTTGGGGTACATGAAAGCCAACACATCAACCTGTTCTTTTCCACGATCCAAAACTCCCAACAATTGGTCAGCCTCTCAGCGCAGGCCCTGCGGATTTCTCAGGCACTTCCAGGGTCAGGGAATTAGGGTGGAGACTCACATGACCTCAGAGCTGTGTCAAGAGATGGTTGCATGACAAGAGAGCAAGCGGCAGCATTCGCAACAACAACCCTATTCATTGGATTGCTTTACAGGAAAATGTTAACCGGAAACCCCCATGATCTTCATGGTAAAAACCATGGTTTCCGGTGTAGATTTTCCCTCAAACCAATCCAATGATTGGGGCATCGCCGGTGTGCGAAGCCCTACAATACCCCAAGACAGCCAAGAAGCTCACATGCAACCGCCCGCTCTCAGCCAGGAGATGTCGCATTTGCCGGTTCACCGCACTGACGGCCGCCGTGGCGCTGGGCCGTTCCCAGAACTCGGGGAGAAGAAGCCTGAGAGATTTCTGGAGCTGATTAATTGATAAATTTCCAAGGATGTTTAGGTGATTTTCCTGAGTTGTCCTGTGATTTTCTATGGCTTTGGAAGATTTGAAGTGAAAACATCCATGATTTTTCGTGATTGTTTGGTGATTTTGGTGATTTTCGTCATTGGTTGTTAGGGATTTATTGGAGGATCTTTGGTGATGTTCTTCATGACTTTCCGGGATTGTTTAAGGATCTGTGCGGATGTTTGCGAAGTTCTGATGATTTATGGGGCGTGTTTGGGTTTCTGGGCGAAACTTTTGTGGTGGATTGACTTTTTGGATGATTTTTGGGGTGTTGGCGTCCCCAGTCATCTGTGATGGCTGATGTTCTCAGGGAATTCAGGTGATTTTTGGTTCTCGTGCTCATTCACAGTGCACCTCAAAGGGGTGGTCACTGGCTGGAACAAGAAGAGCTAAAACGCGTGGAGGGTTGCAGTAAGGACCCTCTGGTTATTTAACAGTGTGCAGTGTGCGAACTGGAACATTACCATATCATCATGTTATAGCTAGGATTGGCTAGGTAAGTATAGGTACTGTAAACATACATGGGCTATGACTTCTATAGCTACGTTTACCGAAGGGTATACGGTATTGCGGCACTCAAGGGCCAGAGCAGTTGAAGACTAATGATGACTGATGCGGACAAGATCTTCACATCACAGGGCCATGGTTTTCCAAGAATTCATCACCTTTAACTGAAGTTTCTTGCAGCCCAGGAGCCAAATAAAGCGCAGGCGCTGGGAATCTAAATGAAAAGCCTCGACCATTGATCCACGGCGACAGATTAACACGCTGAAACTCAGCCAGCTGTCAACTGAATACGCGTTTCCTTGACTATCTCGAAAAAAACATCAACGTTTCCTAAGCCAGGGAATAGCTTCTAAATGGAAAGAAAGACGACATATCACCCAGATTGGAAGGCTGATGAATAGGAGGAATTTTGTGCCATGTGAATCCGCGAATCCGCGAAATCAAAACTCAGAACTGCAAGGCCCAGACAAACCACAACCCATGTTAGGCTGGTTTATGACACCAACATTTCCTCCAATTCATCCCAAATGAAATCCAAATTGTCATCCCGGTCCCCAATGAAATCCAAATTTTCCCAGCATCTTCCCATAAATCCTTGGCTTTACCATGGCTTTACCCCCCTAAAAATCCCCAGGGGGATCCCCCCGGGGGATCCCCCGGGCACGGCCTCGCGCTTCTGTTGCAGCGCCAGCTGCGCCGCCAGCGCCGCGGCCTGCGCCTCCTTGGCGTCTGCCAAGCCGCTGCGGCGCAGGAAATCCTCGAGCTCGGCCAGCAACGCCATGGCGCTCCATCGATGGATGGGGAGCTGAGGGCTGATCCAGGAGACGGTAGGGTAGAAGTGTCGGGCTGGTTTTTTTGGGGCTTGGAATGGAATATATGGAATGAATTTAAAGATATGAACTAAGATAATATATGATAATATCAAGATATACTTAATGATACTTAGATGATGGATGGAACTGGACTTAAAATGAGGATGATCGGAGAATGAGGGGTGTCATGGATGATGTTGTTGTTTTGTTTGATACGTATACATGTATGGTGTATATATGTTCATTGTCTTCTCAAGATGAATTGAACTTATATAAATAGTCCTATAGAAAAGTGATGTGCAGATTCTGGGTGTTTTTCCGTTTTTCGTGACGGTCATGGGATGTCATGGGTCATGGGATGTCCTGCTGTTTGGATGTCAAAAATGAGTCCTGACGCCAGAGATTCGGTTGCATGGCGACCTCTCACTGGACCCCCGCTATCAAAGGATCAAATAAACAGTTCATACTAGTTATAGAATGTTATAGATATCAATTCTTGATCCAAAATAGTCTCCAATCGTATACCTTACATTCTCAAACCATCCAATTTTTGGGTGTCCACGAATTATTAAACATCACTCATCTATATATACTCATCATCGTCCGCTTTGACCCATGCCTCAACTTTCCCAAACTGACGGGACTGGCACCTTCTGTGACCGCCAGGTGCCTAACGAAAATGCAAAGGTCATAGGAAGCCACCAGAGTACAGGGGACTCATGGTTGCACCTGATAAATCCGGTGTGAGCTAGTTAACAGTTAAGTTGGTTTATAATTTATAACCAGCAGAACTTGGGTGTATGGACATTATAAGCATAGTGGACGGGATTTATAAACCAAACTTATAACTCTGGGCACCACTGCGAATGAACATCCCAATGGTGATAGTAGTTCAAATGGGATGATCAAGCTGGTTGATAATCCCCGTTGCTCCATTCTCCCAACTGGCTTTGTTATATACCCTCTAGAGTAAACTAACATAACTATGGAAAATCACAACGCTTTATGGGTCAATATTGGTAAATCAACTCTTTCTATGGGCCATGTTCAATAGCTATGTTAGTCATTACCAGAGGGTAAGGAAACTTTGAACATGCTGCTTGGCTTCATGGGAGACCCTCCATTGCAAGCAATTCGTCACCCTTGTCGAGACATCCCAACGGCCATCAATCGGCGCTGATCCCAACGGCCATCTCCAAAGTTTCTCATCCGATTGTTCACCACAGTCCCTCCCAGCTGTTCCCTACTACCTCAGAAGCTCAACAAAAATGCAACTTCATCGAACATCAGCCGCAAAGCTAGTTCTCCCCCAGTTCGTAGCAGGATGGCAGCCGTTTTTCCATGTTTTTCCTCACTAAACCAGCCACTCTTGGACCCATCTTTGGAGTCGCCGCAGTGGCCGAAGCCACTTCAGTCGCCGCCGCCGCCGTCGCCGGCGCTTGAACTTGACGCAGCGCAGGTCGCTGCTTCCGCCGCGGCCCGTCAGAAACTTGGAGATTTGGTCCATGATACCCTCCTCAGATAATTGGTGGCGAACTACCCACGAATCCTAAGCAATGTGGTAAAAACAATGCCATAAACTACCCATGTTGGAATGGTCTATGGTGATTTAGGAGATGGTTATTATTGTTTTAACCACATTAAAGTTATCTCCCTGATTTTTCATCCACTTAGAACTCGGGTGAGCTAAGCCAAGCCGCGAAGTGGGATGAGCCACCAAGGAGACAAGATGGGACTGGTCAGACTCCACACATTTTGGGGGGGTACACCCAATTTCACCAGTTCAATAGGGAAAAATGATCTGGTTGGTGAAAAATCATGGAGTGAAAGTCAGTTGGGATTATATGAAATTCCCAACTGAATGGAAAAATGAAAGTCAAAATCTGGTTGGTGGTGCAATAACCATCTTGAAAAATATGAGTTAGTCAATGGGAAGGATGACATCCCATATATTATGGAAAATAAAAAGTGTTTGAAACCACCAGCCAGTGATTATAAACCAACAGAGAATGAGATGGGTATGAGTCAAACTTGAGGTATCCTAAAACCCACTGGTTAATAGTGAAAATCAACAAGAATCTGCGATTCCCAGGGTCCGAAACTTTGGCCCTTGCCGAAATGAGGGACATAGGATCAGAACTAAGCACCTAAGTACACATTCCACTCAAAAGAATACATGTTGGATACCCTCTGGTAAACTAACATAGCTATGGAAAACCACCATTTTCAATGGGAAAATCCACTATAAATGGTCATTTTCAATAGCTATTTTGACATAACCAGAGGGTAGTATGATTTTGTGACCCAGAAGTTGTGGTCCCGAGGCATTTGACTTTCCAGCGATCCCAACCTGATAGGACAACAGGACCACCCATGGCGCGTGCGGGAGTTGATCCCCATGCTGCTTCTCCCCCGGGGGGGGGTGCTTCAATCCCCCATGTTTCATCGAAAACCAATGCTGGTCCAAGGCTCATAGCTGAAATGACTGTTTCGCATGCTGAGGATTTTCTCCTCCATACTCTGCAGTTTTTCGAAGCCCACTTCAGCCACATGGTCCAGCATCTGGCCGAGAGTCATGGGTCATCATGGCGGGGACCTTCCCCCTCCAAAAATTTTGATCCACTAGGTAGGGGGAAATCTGATTGGGTGATCGATGATTCCATACTATAGTTGATTGTTCAATCATGTTTAATCCACTCTCTTTCATACTCAACTTAAATCTGGAAAATGGCCCTAATCGAAATAGATGCTTTACCGAACTCGATGATTTGCCGACCAGTGGGCCAGCAGCTAATCCCACTATAAATCACCGTAAAAAAAAAGTCAATCCCGCAAGGAAATTCCCATGAAATCCCCAAGTTCTGTTGGTTATACCACGTTATACCCCACCAATTCCCCCATGTTTGATCTCCAAGCGAACTCCAAAGCTGCCTGGCCCGGGGGCCCGGCCCCAAGGTCCCAACCTTCTCGAGCCCCTTGATCTGGACGCTGAAACCAATGATTTCCTGGTCCCACAATTCGCGGTAGAAGCTCCACGGTACGTCGTCCCAGATGTACAACGGCACCCTGAGGGCAGCTGTTGACATGGGATAAACAGCATGGATTCACTTGATATTAACAGTATGTCAATATGGAAAGATTATATATTGGTAAATAGTATCCAACTGTTGGGACTGACAGTATATCGATATCAACTGGGATATTAACTGTCAATCCCGACTGTTTTTAGATTGGTAAACAATCAATATTGATACTTGGGATACAGGAGGTTAGGACAAACAATCTACTGATACTTTGGGGGGCCCACGGACCCACAAACTCCGCAAGGTCCCTCTCAAACCATCCATTTTTGAGGATGAAATGGGGCGAATCTACCAGTAGTTTGGATTACTCAAGCCATCCAAACCACCCATTTTTGGGGGACAAGAACAGTTTTGAGCCCTGAAAAGATTTCAGAGCCATCATCAAGCAACAGCAGCTTTGTTCCGAAGTTGCGATTTTGTTCATACAAGAGTTGACCCGTATGACTAGCCATACCAGCAGATGTAACCAATAAAT